GCGGAGGTCCGAGAGTTGCGTCCGTCTTGCAGCGGCAATTCCGACTCGTCCACCCACCGCGGCAACCGATTCGTGGGATTCGTCCGGTCCGGACACCAACTTGTCGGGACAAGCATATCGACTCGCTGGGAGACGATCAGAACGGCCATTGGTCTGAGACGAAACCTCGTGGAGGCGGTGTCGCGAGGTGGTCAGTTGGTGCATGGTTTGAGTTGCCATGCTGACAAATTGTTGTCACGCGATTTGAAGAGGAAACGTGTCCGTTTCTCAGATCGCCTGCTGATTCGCCGTTTTTTGCCGACTCCAACCTCTTCTTTGTCCGTTGACTCGGACAGCTCGACACGTAGTCTCTCCGGTTACATGTTCAAAGCGATGAGACGCTTTCGTGCCAACCCCGACGACTGGATGGAGGCGTCAAGCCGACGTCGGGCCCATTCAGACGCAATGCGAAGCTGGACGACGCCGAGTCTGCATATCAACTGTTTCCAAGGGACGACCGACAAAGGTCCAAAACAGGATCAGCAGGAAGAGGAGAAAGAGGAGCAGGAGGAGCAGGAGAGAGAGGAGGAAGAAGAAGGGGAAGAGGAGAAGGAGGAGGAGGGGAAAGAGGAGGAGGAGGAGGAGGAGGAGGAGGCGGGCGGTGTCTGGTACGTGGAGAGTGTGTACAGTCTGACGGTGGTTTCCGGGGTCTACTTTGAGGAGCTGGCTCCCTTGTTGGCCGGCCAACCCAGTCTCGAGGTGTCCGGTCGTCATCCGTTATCGTCGGGTGTCAACTCGGCAGACGAGGCGGAGCATGCTCGCCTGGCGTTGCCGGGGCTCGAGGCAAGGCAGATGTTCGCGTCGCGTCCTGCCCCCTGGTCCGAGATGAGGAGGTCTCGAGGTCTCGACGTCGGCGCCATCGGAGCCATCGACAATTGTGTCCGTGGTCTGGCGGGTCGACTGATGCGTAAAGCCGACAGTGAACCGGAAATGCGTGTTGCCGCCTCCGTGGCTCGTCTCGGCCTGCCCGACTGGCTTGAAGTGGGCTTGGTCGACTTTTACACCAGCCTTGGCTTGGACGAAGAATCACTGGCCGGCTCCGTCCAACTGACCGCAGCCCTGACAGCGGCGAGTGTGCTTGTTGAGGATTTGGCTCTGGTACAGGGCGGTGATGCTCGTCTCCAGCTGGAGGTGGGCAAACCGTTGCCTCGGTTCCCCTCGGCCGGTCGGTACCGCCTGCAGGCCCAGAGCCAGGAGCAGGCAAATGCACAAATCTCTACAGCCGGACGACGACAGTGAATGTTGAAATGTCAACTAGCCACTCTTTTTGCACTAACTCTCCCATTTCCCTCGCATGAGTCATTTGAGCACAGCTGAATTGTACAAAATGGTACCTGGTCAATGGATACAACTCTCATCATCATCTCATTCCGCAAGTAGTGGTAATAGTAGCAGTAGTGGTAGACCAACTCATGTGGTAATGAATTCTGGCCAACTTGAATGCTCGGACGGCCTCACAAATGGCGATAAATTATGACTGTCTATTTTCCGTAAATGAGACTTCATAACTCATATAACCGTCT